GAAGCCAGGCGACGAATGCTTTGAAGGCCATGTCGCGACTTGGAAGGTTTAGGTGCCAGACGTATCTGGTGGCGGTGTCGATTAACGTGATTATGTAGTTGTATGCCCCTTCTCCGCTTTCGCGGGTGTACAGTATGTCGCTCTAGACCTTCTACAGTGGTGCGTATGCTGGCGCGCTTGGGTTGTGGTGAGAGACGAACGGCTGATGGGGTAAGTCGGCTTCAGGGCAGGTAAATCAGGTTCCGCGTACTTGTTGAAGTTCTTTGCCATCGGGTAAAAGTAGTGAGACTTTATCGAGCACTCCTGCTCTTATCGTGTTGTTCAATGTCGTGTTGCTTGGATGTCCTAATCTTTGATGCCATAGTGATTCGTCGGCGTGATGTCCAGGTGAACGTGTGTACAGATCGGAGTTGGAGTAAAAACTTGCGGTGATGTTGGTGCTTCTGTGAGCTTCGCGTGGGGCGGGATTCAATTGTTGAGTGGGTGTCGGTGCTGATGAAGAGCTGGCGAGTGGTGCTGGTGCTGTTGTTGTTGCTTCTTCTTCTGTCGGTGTTGCTGCTGCTGCTGTTGTCTCTGCTGCTGCCGGTGTTGATGCTGCTGCTGTTGTCTCTGCTGCTGTTGTCTGTTGAATCACTGCTAACGCCCTTGTCCATTCTGCTTCAGGTATGGTGTGCGAGTACTAGAAACCTCCGGTGCTGAAGTCTGAGTCGAGGTCTGGTGGGTGCGACCAAGTGGTGAAGTTGACGATCGCGTCGCTGTCAGCACTTCCTTGATCTGGGACGAAGTCGAGAACGAAGACGTTGTTCTTCAGGATTGCCTTCCCGATGTAAATTCCTCCCTTCCCATTGTACAGCTGGAACTCCTGAGTGGTGCTGTCGGCTTTCAGGTGAATCCCTTTTTCCATGAGCTGGCTGACGCTTAGCAAGTTGTAGCCCAGTCCTTCTGCAATCAAAACCTTTGACATCTGTAAAACGACGTTAGTCTCACAGGACTGAAGTTGAACTATTCCGTGTCGTCGTGTGCGCAGGTTCTGGTTGTTGGCGACGGTGATCACGACTTCCCGGTTGAGGAGTTGTTCCCGTTGAACGAAGCGATTTGACGAGCACATGTGTTGTCCTCAGCAACTGTACAAGAACCAACTATCTTGACTTGACGGTTTGCTTTGTGCGATAGCCGCGTATGTCGGGTTTGGTTGTAGCGATTCACGACGAGGCGTGCTTTCGTCGAGCAGTTCTTCTGGTGAGTAGGCTGGTGGTGAACCAGTGATGCAGGAGTCCGTTCTTGTCATGCAGCTTATGATGTTTCTTGTTCCTTGTGCAGGTTGTGACGTTGTCGATGAAGGTGGCGCCTGATTCGAAGGATGTTGCTGTGTGGAGGTCACTTGACTACTTGAAGGTTGAAGCTGACATGGTGATGGAGTCGATTGCTGCTGATTCGGGCAATGGATGCAAGAGTGTCCTGACGTTCGGCAGAGATGACAGAATGGTGGTACGTATCTTCATGCTTGGTGCTCTTGTTGTCAGTTGTTGTTGTTGTTGCGCCACTGAGTGTGAAAGGTGAATTCCAGTGCTGATCCTCTTTTCCCTTGTCGTTCTTCATGCAGGTCCATGTCTTGTTGTTCGGCATGAATTTTGGTGCAGAGTTTTGCTTCAGAGATTCTTCCGTGGGCTCGGAGGATGGCTCGAGTGGAGCGCCACTGAGGACCAAGACCTGCGATGACAACAGTGACGAACGCGTCTTTGGATATTTATCCGCCGCATCGAAGGAGTCTATCATGCAGGCCGCGACAGTGACTGATATATGCCATTCCCTTTTCGCCGGGTTGCATTTTATCCATTGTTAATTGCGCCATGAGACGACTTTGATTGATGCTGTCGGTTAATTGATACAGGTTCTTCAGGTGGTTGTACTCGAGCTCGGCGGAGTTTCCGTATCCGCGATAAGACCAGATGTTCCGCTGCTCGTTTGCCGTTATGTTTCGCAGAAGTATGGTGTACGCCATCAGTGACTGGTATGTGTACTGCTGCTTGTCATACTCTGTCCCGTGCATTGGATATGGCAGGGAGCCGTCGAAGACGCCAAGGATTTGAGTGCCTTCCATCATCAGCTCGAATTCGAAGGACCAGGTATAGAAGTCATTTCCGTCAAACGGTGTTGATGTTTGTAGTTTCAACACGTGTGCGAATTGTGACTGCAACTGAAGTGCATCTAGTGTCTTCATCTCTTGTCCAGGTGGGAGCTGATTCGGCATGAAGCTGGCAGAGCCGCGTTGATGTACATACGGTGCGAAGGTAGGCTGTTGATTTCTGCGCACAAAAGATGAGCCGTCGAGACTCATGGGAGTAACTCCGTTGTTGTTGTCGCTGTTGTTTGACTGCGCAGGTGCCGCTTGTTGATGTTGCTCGTAGAACGACATGAACGAGAAAAAAATCTCCATCATACTTTGGCCGATGCCGATTTCTTGGTTCGCAGGAGTCTCAGTTGACTCAGCAGCTGGTCTTTGAGTTGTGCCTCCTTCTGTCTGCAGTCGAGAGGCTAGCGGTGGAGTATGAGTAGTACCGGGAGATCCATTAGAAGAGCTTCTTTCCTTCTGTGTTGCCATGTCTTCTGATGTTGTAGGAAGTTGATCAAAGTTGAGTTTTGTCTTGTAGGCTCTCATACCATGTTGGGCTGAAAATGTCCTTAGGATCGTTCAAGACTAAACTCTCAGAGTAGTGATGTATTTAGCGGAAGCGTAATAGTGGATTGATTGAACCACCTTGTACTAGTCTGTGAGAACAAGATGAATTGATTAAAGCAAAGAGATACAAGAATATATATATGATTACAAGGAATACGAAGGGTTTAACTGTAAATGCTGTTGCGGTTCGATACAGCGACGACTCGGGTAACTGCTCAATAACGAGTCAGTTATTTGTCCTTGCTGTCGCGCTGCCTTTGTCAAGTCAAAGGTCGCTGACCTTTGACCTTCGCTTCAACCTCATGCTGTTGTCGCCTAGTCAACCGCTTTGGTTGACTCGGTGTTGCTTCGCTGTGATTGTACTTCTCTTTTTGTTATAGTGATCGATACTTCAGAAGCGTAAACTAAATGTTTCCAACAATAGGCGGCTTGTCATTGGCCAGTTCTTGGCATTTCTCACCACAATGCTTTGTACGTTTCTGCCCGAGTGTAAAAATTAAACCCCATTGGGAATGACATCAACCCTAAACACCTTGTCGCAAGGTTTTTAGGGTTGATGCCCTTAAAAAATAGCATCAACCCTAAACACCTTGTCGTATGGTGTTTAGGGTTGATGCCCTTGAAAATATGCCAGCCATTAGGGATTTAGTTTTGTGCTTGTCAACCCAAAGCGAGTTCCATAATGCTTCCTCCACACTTTTTTTGTATATATTAAATTGAAAGAATACACCAAAACATGGGCAAGTGTATAAAATCAAAGACAGACGTAACTGTGCATGAGGGGAATGGCGTGAGCCAGAGCCCAGAGGGGGTGCTTAAACAAGGCCACGTGCGACCTTGCCAACTTGCACTTCCGAATGCCGCACCTGAATACAGTTCGATATTTGGACCAATGACAGACCGATTCCTTAGTTGTTACACTAATGTTCCCGTGTGAGCGTGAAATTTGTGGAAACAATCCTGTGTTTAGTGATGAAGTTGATGGAACTCTACTGTAACATTCCCCTCAAAGCTGAAAACCTGAATGCCTGCCTTGACATCTCTACCCTTCCGCTTGCTTTTGCACTTTTGTTACCATGGTGTGAGCATCACAAAGTACATTCTCTCTTGCGTTGACGGGTATTGTAACGCCTACTCTGCCTAACTACCGCGGATTTCCTATGTCAACATCGAGAGAGTGCTCGATGAGAAGTGACGTGAAGGCAATCGGGAAGGTTGAGTTGGAGAGGAAGATTGGTTTGGGATTTCCAACCCTCAACCTTGAGGCTTGGAAACTTCCAACCCATCAAAGTGAAGATTGGAAAGGTTGGATTTCCAACCAATCACATTGTGCCAAATGTTGTTACAATCCATACAAAGAACCTAGCAACCATACAACACAATTAAGTTGGGTTTTCCCAACCAAACAAAGATGCCACATAGGCTCCAAGCCTAGAAGCTCCCCAACCATGGAAGCCATGTTTGGGAAGAGCCCCAACGGGTATTGTGGAAGGGGTTGAAGCTTGGAGGCTCATTCTCACTTCCCAACTCCAACTTACCAATTTGGAAATGGGATTTCTCTAAGTCATTTTTGGTTCTCCTAACAAGCTCTCCTACACAACTAGAATTGTGTTTACTTCAAGGACAAGCTCTACAAGAAGCTACCTACCTACTTGCTAAAGCTCCATCAACCTTCTTCAAGCTCTTTTTCTCCTCTCAAGCTTCAAGAGTATTATCTAGGCTAGTTTATCCCTTGGTGGGATTAGTTTAATCTTGGGAGCCTTGTATCTTGATTTATATCTATTGTCAAGGAGGATTTATATTTAACACATGGTTGGCCGTTGTTATAAGGGCCGTGGTTGTTACATTGGTATCCAGAGCTAGGGTTATCCTAAGCCTAGTGGGGATTTTTCCCCTATAGATTTTTTTTATATATATAGATATTGGAGTTGTGGTTTCTCTTTTAGAGAACACTCAAGATCAAGAAGCTTGAAGAGTTCAAGATCTACAAGATCTACAACTGCAACTTCAAGCAAAGAAGAAAGATTTATATCTCTTGCCCACCTTTTGGTGGAAGAATCTCTACTGTTGAGTAGTGGAGTATAAACTAAGATCTGGAGGATTTTTTTAGGGTTATTCAAGTTCTCTTTATTGAGATTTGGATAGACCCTGCCCTTTTAATTAGGTGATTGGGAGTGTTGGCAACAAATCTGTTACCTTTGGTAACCTTGAGTTATTCTGTAGAAGAAATTTCGTCTATAAGAATTTCTTGCTTTACCATTGAGGTGGTAAAAGGATTTTCACAGAATCAACCCAGATCTCTAAAGCTCCCTTAATCCTTATGGCATCTGGCCAAGAGAATGACATGGGAAGGGAGGAAGGGCCCACTGCCCCTAATGAGGTGGTGAACAATGCTGCTGAGATTGACCTCAATCAAGATGAGGCAATGACTGACATTGAGCTGGATGACATTGAGAACTTAGACCTGGAGGATGAGGATAACTATGTTGAACCTGATACCCATGTTGAAGCTAATAATCATGGTGAAGCTGATAACCATGGTGAAGCTGATAACAATGGGGAGGAGGACAACACCGGTCAAAAAGAGAACACTGGTGATGAAAATGACTTCACTGAGGGTGAAGGCATGAGTTATCCTATCTCAGAGGAGATTGTCCAACTCCTGGCTAAAGTGTCAACTCAGAATATCACCATCCTGCGGCAGCAGAAGTCCATTGATGGACTCACAAAGCTGACTAACAAGCTTAAGGATGAGTTGGGCGTTGTCACGAAAGAGGCTTGCCAATTCCGTCGCAGCCTGGGCACTAAAAGTCGCCAAATTGAGGAGCTTCAGGATAATTGCAACAATATGCAAGCGTCACTCACCAAGCTCCATGAGCAGTTGAGGGAGCTTAGGAGGGAGGGCATTTACCAACCTCCTCCTGGGCGTAGGCCCGCTCCTGCTGCTCAGCCAGCACCCGCTCCGCCTGCACCTCCGCCGGTAGGCACTGCATCGGCTGTGCATCAGCCACCTCCAACCGAGACTTCGCCCTTTGGATCTCTCTCGGCGCCTCTGCCTGAGTTTAACCATAGAAAGACGGAGGTGCAGCCTTGGCTTGACCTGGTGCATGACACCATGACCCTTGCGAATGTGTGTCCTGAGGCTCGCGTTATTGCAGCCACTCGTGCATTGGACGAGGTGGCCCGCAGAGCAGTGTATGGCGCTAAGGAGCAGGCGCAGGGACCGTTTGAATGGCCGGAGTTCTGCACCGCGTTGAAAGAGGCATTCATGGTCAAGAAGTCCGACCTCGAACTGCGCGGACGCCTTGAGAGTATCAAATGTCGTGACCGTTCGGTGCAGGAATATGCGGTCGAGTTTGAGGCCGCAGCACGCTTGCTCCAGAAGCCCTTGTCTGAGGAGGAGATGATGCACGTCTTCATGAAAGGCCTCCCTTTCAAGCTGCAGCAGGCACACATGACCGGTGGCATGACCAATTGGACGACTTACAAGGAGATGAAGGAGCAGGTGATTAAAACTGACAACATCATTCGCACGTATATTTTTGGTCCTGCAAAGCCGGACCAGCAGCCCCGTGCTGAGGGCCCTGGTGGTCCTGGGAACCGACCCCAGAATGCCAACGGCGGAGGCGGTTGGAACAAGCGGCCTTTCCAGAAGCGTGATCACCAGCCTGGGCCACAGGCCAAGAGGCCTAACGGAGGGGGAGGTCATGGCCCTAAAAAGCCGAACTTCTCCGACAAGCAGTGCAGAGTCTGTGGAAGGATGGGGCACATTGAAAGGCAGTGCCGTGACAAGAACGCAATCAAGTATTCTGGGAAGCCTAAGCTAGGTGGCGCTGGACCTTCTGGAAAGAAGGATTTTCAGAAGCCCAACTAGGGTGTGGGTACCTAGTTGGAGGAGTAGATCGAGTGGATGAGGCATATGTGCTACGTGATGATGATATATTAAAGCTAGAGAAGCTTGCTGACTGCAAAGTCACTTGTTTGTTTGCCTCTTCATTTAATAAAACCTCTGTTTTTTATCCTCGATCGTACCCACTTGAGAAAAAATTCATGGAAGCAATGCAGTATAAGTTTTCAATTATTTTCTGTGACTTGGACATTCTGCCTTCTGTCCTTGAAATTGTGAGTCGTTGCACTCAAGAGCACCCTCTGACTTCGGTCGCGTTGGTGACTCGCACAGTGAAAGGCAAATTGTTCCATGCGCTTCGTGGATGGCCGGTCCTGGCGGCGTGGGACAAAGGACACCAGGTGTGGTGGACCAACTCCTAGTCACATGGGCATGCTTGTCACAACGTCAATGTGTATTTCAAACCTTCGACGAATATTGTAGCATGTCCTATTCGCCCAAAGCATCAACAAAATTTGTTGCTTGCGGGTAGCGTGAACGGGGAAAACGCAGAAATCCTTGTTGATACAGGTGCAACTGTTTCCCTCTTTGACGAAAAGTGGGTCACAGCACGCATGATCCTCGTTGAAGGACCGTCTTGCCCCATTCGCCTTGGTGATGATAGCATCATCCCGAGCAAAGGGCGGACACGGATCAACATGGAGATTGAGGGATATCGCGAAGAAATTTTCGCATATGTGTTACCCCTTCTGTCAAACATTATATATGTTGTGTTAGTTTAGGCTACAGTGGGTTAGCCTATAGGGGGTACACAATTCTAGGGTTAGGTACTTGTACTCTTTTCATTGCTAGTTCATTCATTCCTGTTCAGTGATTCCAACATGGTATAGAGCAGGTCCTTCCTAGGACCGAAATTTTCTAAGGGCCCACCACTACGTAACTACCTACCTACCTACCTACCCGTGCCCTAGGGCGCCTCGGCGTGTCACGCCCCTAGAGGCCCCTCTTGACGGCCCCGCGCTAGCCCCGTTCAGGCCCCGTCGGCCCCTTTAAGGCCCCGTTCAGGCCCCGCGCTAGCCCCGTTTAGGCCCCGTCGGCCCCGTTTCAGGCCCCGTCGGCCCCACGCTAGCCCCTCTCAGGCCCCGTCGACCCGCGCTAGCCCCGTTTCAGGCCCCGTCGGCCCCTTTTCAGGCCCCGTCAGCCCCGCGCTAGCCCCTCTCAGGCCCCGTCGGCCCGCGCTAGCCCCGTTTCAGGCCCCGTCGGCCCCGTTTCAGGCCCCGTCGGCCCCGCGCTAGCCCCTCTCAGGCCCCGTCGGCCCGCGCTAGCCCCGTTTCAGGCCCCGTCGGCCCGCGCTAGCCCCGTCTCAGGCCCCGTAGGCCCCGCGCTAGCCCCTCTCAGGCCCCGTCGGCTCCGCGCTAGCCCCATTCAGGCCCCGATCGGGCCCGCGCTAGCCCCGTTTCAGGCCCCTTCGGCCCCGTTTCAGGCCCCGTCGGCCCCGCGCTAGCCCCGTTCAGGCCCCGTCGGCCCCTTGCTAGCCCCGTCAAGGCCCCGTTTGGCCCCGCGCTAGCCCCGCTCAGGCCCCGATCCGCCCCGCGCTCGCCCCTCTAGGGCCCCAACCGGCCCCGTGCCTACCTCGCCGACCCGTGCCCACCACCCAGAGGCCCCGAAAGGCCCGTTCCCCGCCGCAGCACAAGAGGGAGAGCGGGCGGCCCGTCCCCGCCGTGACCTGAGCCGAGCCGCGCGCCCCGAGCCGAGCCGCGCCACCCAGCCGAGCCGCGACCCGACCTGAACCGAGCCGCGCCGCCCTGCCCTACCTGGTTCGTCCTACCTGCTTCTCCTACCGCTCCTGCTGCTATTTCTACTGTTCCTATGGCTAGCCCACAGGTTCTCGTGTTCGATGCTGAGGGCCGCCCTGTGAAGTTTGACACCTGGCTCGATGACCTGCACCTCTACCTACAGCTCACAGCCAAGGATGACATCTCACTGTACGATCACGCCCTAGGCCTTGTCACTGCCCCTGCTGCTACTGCTGACAGCACTGCTCGCTCACAGTGGCAGACTCGTGATGCCCACGCTCGCTTCGCCATTCGCAACTCCCTGCCGATAGACGAACGCGAGCACTTTGGTCAGCACAAGACTGCACCGGCACTGTACACAGCTGTAGTTGCTCGCTACTCCTCACCTGCCTCTGCCGCACTAGGCCGTCTCTCCCTCCCCTACCTGTTTCCCGACCTGGCCTCCTTTCACACAGTCGCTGACCTCATCACGCACCTCCGTACTAGTGAGGCCCGCTTCCGTGCCGCCATGCCTGCTGAGTTCCTTGCCACGCACCCCCCTCCACTCTGGCTCACTCTCTATCACCTAGTCACCCGCCTCCCTGACACACTGCGTGCTGTCAGGGACCACTTCCTAGCTCGTTGCCCCACTGAGCTCACCATTGCCCTCCTCGAGAAGGAGCTACTTGCAGCTGAGGCTAGCATAGTCGCTGTAGGTGCCTCTCGTGGCGACCCCCGTACCCCGTTCTTTGAGGGGTGTTCTCCTCCCCCCCTTCTTCCCTCTGTCGCCTCTGCTGCTGCTGTCGACCTTCTTGGTACTGAGAAGGTCGGCGCTGCGTCTGCCTCGAGCGGACGCCGCAGCGGCAAGGGCAAAGGGGGCAAGGGTAGTGGCGGTGACGGCGGGGGAGGCGGCGGTGGGGGCGGTGGAGGCAGTGGGGGTGGTGGCTCGGCTGGAGGGGCGAGTGGTAGCGGTGGGGGTGGTGGCGGCAGCGGCGGGGGAGGTGGCAGGAGTGGAGGCGGCGGTTGGGGTGGCGGTGGACGAGGCGGCGGCAGGGGTTGGGGTGGTCGAGGAGGTGGCAGCGGTGGTGGTGGCCGTGGAGGCGCTGGCGGTGGCCAGGGCCAGCAGCACACTCTCTCGCCCCAGGAGGTCCGTGAGTGGTACTCTCAGCACGGGGGTGGGGGTGGTCTTAGCTGCACGTACGTCATTCGCACTGGTGACCGCACTGGTCAGCAGTGTGGACGACCGCACGCCACACAGCGCTGCTTCTCTCGTCTCGACGACGCTTGGCGTGTTCAGTTCCCTCAGGCCACTGAGCTGCCCCGCTGGCTTGATCTCCTGAAGAAGGGGATTGATATCTATGCTCTAGACTTTGATGCTATTCTATCTGCCATGTATGTGATGTCTACTAGTGGAGAGGGTGCTGAGTACTTGTGTGTGCCGCCCGACCCGGGCATTAGGGCCAGTGCGTCTGCCGCTCCAGGTACTCACGTGTCGGCTACCCCAGGTGCTGGTGAGGCTGCTGCTCTAGGTGCTCGTGTGTCTCCCCCCCTTTGTACTGCGTCGACTGCCGCACTGCACACCTTCACACTGGACTCAGGTGCTTCTCGCTGCTTCTTTCGTGACCGCACTGCCCTTGAGCCGCTTGCTCGGCCAGTTGCTGTCTCCCTTGCTGACCCCTCTGGGGGTCCGGTCATTGCGACCTCTTCCACTGTCCTTCCCTGCCCTGCGGTCCCGTCGGGCACACTGTCAGGTCTCCACCTCCCCTCGTTCTCTACGAACTTGGTGGCAGGCTGTGCACTCCAGGACGGGGGTGTTCACCAGTTCACCCCTGCCTACGAGCGCGTGACACACTGCACGTGTGCTCGTACGGGCCGTCACTTGGCTACCTTCACTCGGCAGCCGGGGTCGGACCTGTACACACTGACTACTGAGTCCCCTCAGGTTGCTGCGACTGCGTCCGCGTCCGCGTCAGGTCAGCTGTCCGCCCCCTGCTCGTGTCGCTCTTTGGCACACGAGACTGTCCTCTGGCACCACCGCCTTGGCCACCCGTCTGTGCAGCGGCTTCGTGCCATGCACTCCAGGTACCTTGTCTCTGGCCTGCCCAGGGTCCTTCCTCCCCTCCCACCCTCGCCTGCTCCTACCTGTCTCCCCTGTGTCGAGGGACGGCAGCGCGCCGCTCCTCACTCCTCCTCGTTCCCCCCGACGACTGCTCCCTTGCAGACACTCCACATGGACGTGTGGGGCCCAGCCCGCGTCCGTGGTCAGGGTCAGGAGAGGTACTTCCTGATAGTTGTTGACGACTACTCGCGCTACACCTCGGTCTTCCCCTTGCGCACCAAGGGTGAGGTCCCTGATGTCTTGATCCCTTGGATCCGCCGAGCCCGTCTCCAGCTCAGCGAGCGTTTTCACTCGGACTTTCCTGTCCTGCGCTTGCACTCTGACAGAGGTGGTGAGTTCTCCTCCGACCTCTTGGCAGCCTACTGTGCTGAGCACGGCATTGAGCAGTCGTTCACGCTTCCGGCTTCTCCACAGCAGAATGGGGTTGCGGAGCGCCGCATTGGCCTGGTCATGGAGGTCGCCCGTACCTCCTTGATCCATGCGGCTGCCCCCCACTTTCTGTGGCCGTTTGCGGTCCGGTACGCTGCGCATCAACTCAACCTCTGGCCCCGTGTCTCCTTGCCGGAGACCTCGCCCACGCTACTGTGGACGGGGGAGGTTGGCGATGCGTCGCGTTTCCGGGTCTGGGGGTCTCGAGCTTCTGTCCGCGATTCGTCTGCGGACAAGCTCTCCTCCCGTGCTGTTCCCTGCGTCTTCCTCGGCTTTGTCCCGGACGCGTCTGGTTGGCAGTTTTACCACGCCACCTCGCGCCGAGTCTTGCCCTCCCAGGACGTCACTTTTGACGAGTCCGTCCCCTACTACCGCCTCTTCCCCTACCGCACTGCCCCGCTCCCCCCCCCGCCTCTCTTCCTCTCGCCAGGTGCTGCTGTTGCAGACCCCCTCCCCCCTCAGGGTGCCGCTCCCTCAGGTGTGTCTCAGGTAGACCCGGTTGAGCCTGTTGAGGTAGCTGTCGACTCTCGTCCTGCTGGGGGTGCTGAGCCTGGGGGTGCTGAGCCTGGGGGTGTGGAGCCTGGGGGTGTGGAGCCTGGGGGTGTGGAGCCTGGGGGTGTGGAGCTTGAGGGTGCTGAGCTTGGGGGTGTGGAGCCTCGTGGTACTGAGCTGCGGAGTCCGGAGTCTGGGGGTTCTGCGTCTGG